TTGCACCCCGGCTGGGTCAGGCGGAATGTTGTGAAATTATCTGTGACGGTGGCGGGTTCGATCGAAGCCTTCGACAAGGACAACTTCACGTCGCGCCTTGCACCCGCGGTAGGAGTGCTGCCCGAAACCATCTTGCTCGTGGTCTCTGCCGGCGGCAGCGTGGTTGTCGACGTCACGTTCGTGGTCGCCGATGCCAGCGCCGCCTCCAGCCTGGCAGACAATGTGCAGAGCGTGACCAGCGACGCTTCAGCGTTCAGCTCAATGGTTGGAGTCTCCGTGGAGAGCGTCACCAATCCCACCATCGAGGAGCAGCTCATCCCTGGCCCATCCGCCCCGCCCGTCCCGCCGCCACCGGGGGCACCGCCGCTCCCGCCGCCACCAGCAGCGCAGCTGCTCGACCTTCGCACGGCCACCACGTACCAGGACTCGAGCCTTTTCGACAAGCAGGCGCCCGTGAGCGATCTTTCATATGCCGACAGCACGACGGGACGACCGTGGGCCGAGTGCGGCCAATACACAAGCCAATGGTGGGGCGTCGACCTCGGGAGCGAGGTGTATGTGCGCTACGTGCGGCTGCAGAACCGCAACGACTGCTGCGCGGAGCGGCTGACGGACGTCGACATCTATCTCGGCTCGACGGCGGAGACGTTCACGGGCAACGCGCTGGTGAAGTCAGACGTGAGCGTGTTGTCGAACGTGATGTTGGAGGTGGAGATCAACGCGCTGGGGCGCTACATCTACCTCAACCGGCCGTGGTCTGCGACGGGGCTGACGGTGTGCAAGTTCTACGTCTTCGCTTCGCCCGCGCCGCCGTCGCTACCATCACCGCCTCCCCCGCCGCCGTCACCACCATCGCCGTCGCCACCATCGCCGCCGCCGCCATCGCCGCCGCCTCCCTCCGCCTCACCATCGCCGCCGCCGCCCTCAGCATCGCCGTCGCCCCCGCCGCCGTCCGTCTCGCCGTCGCCGCCGCCGCCGTCCGCCTCACCCTCGCCGCCGCCGCCCTCAGCATCGCCGTCGCCCCCGCCACCCTCAGCATCACCGTCACCCCCGCCGGCATCCGTGTCGCCGTCGCCGCCGCCTCCCTCAGCATCGCCCTCGCCACCGCCTCCCTCGGCATCGCCCTCGCCGCCGCCACCTCCGCCACCTCCGCCACCTCCGCCACCGCCGCCGCCGCCGCCCGCGCCTCCGTCGCCGCCACCAGCAGCGCAGCTGCTCGACCTTCGCACGGCCACCACGTACCAGGACTCGAGCTTCTACAACAAGCAGGCGCCCGTGAGCGATCTTTCATATGCCGACAGCACGACGGGACGGCCGTGGGCCGAGTGCGGCCAATACACAAGCCACACGTGGGGCGTCGACCTCGGGAGCGAGGTGTATGTGCGCTACGTGCGGCTGCAGAACCGCAACGACTGCTGCGCGGAGCGGCTGACGGACGTCGACATCTATCTCGGCTCGACGGCGGAGACGTACACGGGCAACGCGCTGGTGAAGTCGGACGTGAGCGTGTTGTCCAACGTGATGTTGGAGGTGGAGATCAACGCGCTGGGGCGCTACATCTACCTCAACCGGCCGTCTGCGGCGGGGCTGACGGTGTGCAAGTTCTACGTCTTCGCTTCGCCCGCGCCGCCGTCGCCACCATCACCGCCGCCGCCGTCCGTGCCGCCCTCCCCTCCGCCCCCCTCCGCCTCGCCGTCGCCGCCGCCGCCGTCTGTGTCGCCGTCGCCGCCGCCCCCGTCCGTGCCGCCGTCACCTCCGCCGCCCTCCGCCTCGCCCTCGCCGCCGCCTCCCTCCGCCTTGCCGTCGCCTCCGCCACCGTCCGTGCCGCCCTCGCCGCCGCCGCCCTCAGCGTCGCCCTCGCCGCCACCGCCGTCAACCTCGCCGTCGCCGCCGCCGCCCTCCGCCTCGCCGTCGCCGCCGCCGCCCTCCGCCTCGCCCTCGCCGCCGCCGCCGTCGGCCTCGCCCTCACCGCCGCCGCCGTCCGTGTCGCCCTCGCCGCCGCCACCGTCCGTGTCGCCCTCGCCGCCGCCACCGTCCGTGCCGCCGTCACCACCGCCACCGTCGGCCTCGCCCTCATCGCCGCCGCCGTCCGTGTCGCCCTGGCCGCCGCCACCGTCCGTGCCGCCCTCCCCTCCGCCCCCCTCCGCCTCGCCGTCGCCGCCGCCGCCGTCTGTGTCGCCTTCGCCGCCGCCCCCGTCCGTGCCGCCGTCACCTCCGCCGCCCTCCGCCTCGCCCTCGCCGCCGCCTCCCTCCGCCTTGCCGTCGCCTCCGCCACCGTCCGTGCCGCCCTCGCCGCCGCCGCCCTCAGCGTCGCCCTCGCCGCCACCGCCGTCAACCTCGCCGTCGCCGCCGCCGCCCTCCGCCTCGCCCTCGCCGCCGCCGCCCTCCGCCTCGCCCTCGCCGCCGCCGCCGTCGGCCTCGCCCTCCCCACCGCCACCGTCGGCCTCGCCCTCGCCTCCGCCCCCCTCCGCCTCGCCGTCGCCGCCGCCCCCGTCCGTGCCGCCGTCACCACCGCCACCGTCGGCCTCGCCCTCTCCGCCGCCGCCGTCCGTGTCGCCGTCGCCTCCGCCACCGTCCGTGCCGCCGTCACCACCGCCGCCGTCGGTCTCGCCCTCGCCTCCGCCCCCCTCCGCCTCGCCGTCGCCGCCGCCGCCGTCCGCCTTGCCGTCGCCGCCGCCGCCGTCGGCCTCGCCCTCGCCGCCGCCGCCGTCCACCTCGCCCTCGCCGCCGCCGCCCTCAGCGTCGCCCCCGCCGCCACCGCCGTCAACCTCGCCGTCGCCGCCGCCCCCCTCCGCCTCGCCCTCGCCGCCGCCACCGTCGGCCTCGCCGTCGCCTCCGCCACCGTCGGCCTCGCCCTTTTCGCCGCCGCCGTCCGTGCCGCCGTCACCGCCGCCACCGCCCGTGCCGCCGTCACCGCCGCCGCCGTCCAC